AAGTATAATTATTTTATAAATAAGCACAATCTTATTTTTATAAGAAATGTTGGGGGGGAGGGAGCTGAGAAATGGAAGCTGGTACCAAAAGAAATGGAGAGTAGCTATAGGCACAGTGCAAAAAAAAAAATAAAAAAGAAAAATCTGTTGGGATGTTGGGATATGGGAGAGCTGCTGCTGTGGGACTGTGGCACTGGCACCGTGTCCCCACCCCAGAGCTTGATCTGGCCCTGCCTGAGGGGTTTTATGGGAAAATAATGTCAATATCCCATGTTGGCAGGGCAGGATGGTGGTCCCTAAAGCATCCTTATCTCCCTAAATCCACACAGGGCAGCTGGAGGGATGCTGCTGGGGCTCAGGGACTGTGTGCCCCACTCTGGTTTGGGGGACACCCCACTGAATACCCCAAAAACCTCTTTTGGGGTGCTGGGATAAGGTTTGTGAGTCCAGCCCCCATCCACAGCTGGGTTTGCAGTGTGTGCACCAGCAGTGTGAGTTTCCATGCTGGCACAGGCAGGAAAACCCCCCAGATTCATCCCCAGCCTCTTTTTCCCCCCTCTGCCAGCCTCTGGGTGCTCTCATGGGACCCTGACCCTGCAGAAACACGGAGCTGGAGGGAAAAATGGGATAAAATGTGTGAAGAAATGCTCAGCACTGCTGAGAAATGAATGGGGAGGGGGCAGCCCCATCCCATATCCTGCACCCAGAGCTGGGCTTGGAGTTGGGCTGGGATGGAGCTTGTCCCTACAAACAGCAGCAGGGGGACACAGAGGTGCCATTTATTCCCAGTTTTCCTGCAGGTGGCCGTGCCCTCCTGCCCCTTAGGGCTGTTCCCCTGCAATAAGGAGCTGTCTGTCTGCACAAAATAATCCTTTCTGTGAAAGGATCTTCCCATCAGGGCGATGGGAGAGCCCAGTGACTGTGTTGCAAAAGGGAAAGAAAAAAAAAAAAAGAAAAAAAAAAAGAAAACTCAAGGAAAATCAAGTGAAAATCCCCGGAGAGAAATTCTGAAATTCTTTTGTACCAATGAAGTTTGTTGTGTGCCTTTTGCAGTACGGCTGGATGTGACAATAAAGTGACAGTTGTTTGCATCACTTTGACTCTTGGAGATGTAAAATGCTCCCAGGCTTAAGGGGGAGATGGAGCAAGGCTGAATTTAAGGATAAAGTTGCATTTATTGTTCTCTGCTCAGGTTAAGGCAATTCCTGCCTCAGGCAGGGCAGTGGATGGGCTGAGCCTTCCAATCCTGATTTTTGGGGATTTTTGGGGAAGTGCCAACCAATTCCAGCTCTGTGGGGTTGGGAAGAGGCGCAGGGGGAACTCCTGAAATAAATGGGAATATGGAGTGTCCGTAGTAAGGATCCTGGTGGGATGCTCAGGGGAGTGCCCAGCCTTCAGGAGCTGTGGGGATGAAGGAGTGACCCCCTCACGGTGGAGCTGGGGGGTCCATAACCCCAATCCTGCTGGGGAAGGGCAGTGAGTGAGCCCATCCTCTGCTTCCCTTCCATCCCTCCTCCTCCCCTGCTCCTTAGGGATAATGGGATGGGGGTTTGGGAGCAGCTCCCAGGTGAGTTTTCCCCGATGGTTTTGGGTGTGTGATGGAATGTTTGTGCTGCCTTTGTCCCCCACAGCGCCCAGCACCACCCTCCCATCTCCCAGTGGTGCTAATTAAACTCAGGATGTAATTGGCCATTTCTTTTCCATCTGATTTTGGACCAGGTTTGCTGATCCTGGCACCTCCTTCCTCCAGCCAAGGACAACTGTGGAAGGTACCAACACCCACGACCTTTCCAGGTCCCCAATTCCAGTTCCTGGAGCATCTCTTGATCCTCAGTGGGTTCATCCTCCCACTGGGAGATGCTGTGGAGTGCCAGGGCAAGGGGGAATGGCTTCCCAGTGCCAGAGGGCAGGGATGGATGGGATTTTGGGAAGGAATTCCTGGTTCTGAAGGTGGGCAGGCCCTGGCACAGGTGCCCAGAGAAGCTGTGGCTGTCCCTGAATCCCTGGAAGTGCCCAATGCCAGGATGGAACAACCTGGGATGGTGGAAGGTGTCCTTGCCCACGGCAAGAATGGGATGGACTTTAAGGTCCCTTCCAAGCCAAACCATTCTGGGATTCCATGAAGATGATGATGATGATGAAGAGCCTGTTTTCCACAGGGAAGCAGCATCAGGAAAACCTCCAGAGTGGTTTCTCCCAGCCCACAGCACCACCCTGAGGCCCTGGATGCAGCCATGTCCCATTTTGGGTCCTGCCTGCCTTTGCCATCCATCCATCCCTCCTCCAAACCCTGGGATGGAGATGTGGGGCTGTGCCCCCTGGAATACCCCACTGCCCCCTTCCCCTGGCACCTTCAGCATCCACACCGCCACCAGCATCCAGTGCCTTTTCCACAGAAATAATTCTATGTTCCAGCAAATTCCCTTTGTCCTCTAAAAATATCCCTTGGCCCCGGCTGACCATCCCCAGGTCCGGGGCCCTAATTGCTGATTTCTGCTAAAATCCAACATTTTCGGGGCAGGAGGGAGGAGCAGGAGGGAATGAGCCACTTCTGGGAGGGGGAGTGCATTGTCTGCTGCTATGTTTAGCCTCCAGCTTTCATGCCTGGCCTATAAAACCCCGGAATTTTCCTCCAGCCAGATGGGGAAGGGTTTGTTGCACCGGCCAGACGGGGTAAAGAGGGGAGGGAGTTCTCCCCTCCCCGTGGGCTGTGCTTAGAAAAGGCTAAATGGGAATAAATTTAATAAATCCCTCTCCCTTTGATGCCTTGACCTCCATTCCTGCTTCATCTCAGCACGGGGGAGGTCCCCAGGGGAGGGAAAGGTCCCTGAATTCCCATTTTCCCTGGGATGCTCCCTGCTGCTGGCAGCCCTCCTGCTGCTCTCTGCTGCCTTTCCACGCATTTAAAGCTGACAAAAAACCTGCCCTGGGGCCATTTCTTCTCCATTTCCAAATTTTGCTATTCCAGGTTGACCAGAGAAGTCAGAGATTTGGGATTTGTAGGGTGAACACGGGCAAATACCAATTTTATGGAGCAAAAAAGGGAAATGTTGCAGTGGTATCCTTAATTTACTAATTAATATTTCCCCCCCCCCTCCCCTGCTTTCTCCTGCTTGTGCCCAAGTAGGTGCTTGACACTGCATCTTTTTTTAAATTTTTTTTTTTATTTATTTTTTTTCTAATCAACCCTCCCAAAACAAGCCCAGCTGGATGTGCCCATCAGCATCACCTTGGTGAGGCACTGGTGATGATTATAAAAAAATCCCCCGTGTGCCTGTGGCTTTTTTAGGGGATTTCTGGCACCCTGAAATTATCCCTGGAGCCTTTTGATGAAAGCAGCCGTGTGGGGGTCACTGTGGAGGGATGCTGGAGGGGTACCAGGGGGTGCCAGGGCTGAGGGGACAGCTCTGGGTGGCATTTTTGGGGCTTTTTGGGGCTGGTTTGGGATGTTTGGGGCTGGTTTGGGCTGTTTTGAGCTGTTTTGGGCTGGTTTGGTGCTGGTTTAAAGATATTTGGGGCTGGTTTAAGGATGTTTGGGGCTGTTTTGGGCTGGTTGGGGCTTATTTGGGGCTGGTTTGGGATGTTTGGGGCTGGTTTGGGATGTTTTGGGGCTGATTTGGGGGTAGTTTGAAGATATTTGGGGCTGGTTGGGGATGTTTTGGGGCTGGTTCGAGGATGTTTGAGGCTAGTTTGGGGCTGGTTTGGGATGGTTGGGGCTGGTTTGGGATGTTTTGGGCTGTTTTGAGATGGTTTGGGGCTGTTTTGGGATGTTTGGGGCTGTTATGGGATGGTTGGGGCTGGTTTGAGGACGTTTGGGGGTGGTTTGGGATGTTTTGGGCTGTTTGAGGATGTTTGGGGATACTTGGGGCTGTTTTGGGGTGGTTTTGGCTGTGTTTGGATGTTTGGGGCTGTTTGGGGCTGGTTTGGGAATGTTTTGGGCTGGTTTGGGGATGTTTGGGGCTGGTTTGGCATGTTTGAGGATGTTTAGGGCTGGTTCGGGGCTGGTTTGGGATGTTTGGGTCTGGTTTGAGGCTGTTTTGGGCTGTTTGGAACTGGTTTAAGGCTATTTTGGGGCTTTTTTGGGCTGGTTTGGTCTGTTTTGGGATGGTTGGGCCTTTTTTGGGCTGCTTAGGGCTTTTTGGGGGCTTTTTGGGGCTGTTTTAAGGATGTTTCGGGGGTTGTGCTCCTCCCCAGCTCTGCCTGAGGGACACAGGAACTTCCTTTTATAAAACCATGGAATTCCAGAATAGTTTGGGTTGGAAGGGACCTTAAATCCAACCCCATCCCACCCCCTGCCATGGGCAGGGACACCTTCCACCATCCCAGGCTGCTCCAAGCCCCGATGTCCCACCCTGCCAGGGAAAGATTTCCATGAGGACACAGCTGAGCTGGGTCAGATGGAGGAAAGGGAAAAACCACCTTATAAAAACCCCATCCCTCATGCTTCCAAAATCCACCTGAAATCCCCCAAACTGGGCTGATAGTGACTGAAAAAACAAAAAAAAAATTATAAAATACTGAGTGATCCCCTGAGCTGTGCCCTAAATGGGAACTTTTGGGAAGGGTTTGAGGGTCAGGGAGGGGTTTGGGTGTGCCGGGGGGATGGGGGCTGTGGGTGAGGGAAGGGTTGGGAGGGATCAGGATTTTGGGGAAGGATCCAGGGATGTGGAAGGATCCAGGCAGGGGGGGTTTGGAGCAGGGATGGGTTTAGGGGGGCTGTGGGTGCAGGGGTGGGTCAGGGCACGGTTTAGGGGTGTGATGGGTGCAGGGGGGTGTATGGGGTGAGAGGGGGTGGGTGTGGGAGCTGTGGGTGCAGATGGGGGGGACAAGGGGCCATACAAGGGACAGGGACAGGGACAGGATGGGCAGAGCAGGAGAGACAGCGGGGTCTGGGCAAAAGCGATCCAGGGGAGGGCAGAGGAGAGGAGAGCAGCAGCAGGAGGAGGAGGAGAGGAGGAGGAGAGGAGGAGGAGGAGGAGGAGGAGGAAGTCGGGGCTGAGCCGCTTCCTGTAGGCAGCGGGATGAGCGCAGACAAAGCTGGGTGGGGACTCGGCGCTCGGGGCTGCTGCTGACCACCATCATCATCATCATCATCATCATCCTCCTGCTGCTGCGGCCGCATCCCTCCGGCCCTCCATCCCTCCCTCCATCCCTCCATCCCTCCATCTCTCCATCCCTCCATCCCTCCATCCCTCCGTCCGTCCCGCCGCCGCCCGCCCCGCGGGGACCGGGACAGCGCTGCCAGGTAGGGCTGGGGGCACTGGGAGCACTGGGAGCACTGGGAGCACTGGGAGGGCTGGCACTGGGAGCACTGGGAGCACTGGGAGAACTGGGAGGGCTGGCACTGGAAGCACTGGGAGCGCTGGGAGCACTGGGAGCACTGGGAGCACTGGGAGCACTGGGAGGGCTGGCACTGGGAGCACTGGGAGCACTGGGAGCACTGGGAGGGCTGGCATTGGAAGCACTGGGAGCACTGGGAGCACTGGCATTGCCCACCCCGCCCGCACTGGCACGGGTGGGGCTGGGCAGGGCGGTCCCCACCCTGTCACCCTCTGGCACTGACCCCCCTAAACCGGCAGAAAATCCCCCAAAACCCCCCAAACCCCCCAATCCCCGCACCCACGGGGACCCCACGCTCTCGGGGGGCACTGGGGGTCCCACCCCGGGAAAGGGCTTTGTGCAGGGAGCTCAGTCTGGAACAAAGGTCGGGTTTAAAGGGTTTGATCCTCCTTAATCAGCTGATTTCCAGCGCGGGCAAGGCTTTCTCCGGGGATGAATGGGGCGTAGTGTTCTTTATTTCCTGATTTTTTTTGGTATTTATTTATTTTTTAATCACGGGAAGGAAGGAAGGAATGAACAGGGAGATTTTCCCAACCCCAAATCCCTGCAAATCAGCTGGGATCAGCCCCAGGCTGGCTCGGAGGGATTTGGGGGTGCATCTTGCCATCCCTACAGCTCCATCCCTCTCCTTTCTATCCAAATCCGTGGTTTTCCCAGCCGTGCTTTGGGTGAAGGATTCCCGGGAAAATCGGGAATGAGCTTGAGGAAAACCTGGTCCAGAAAAAAAACCAAAAAACCTGACCCAGGGAAGATTTGGACTAGAACTGAGAAGGAAATTCCCGGCTGTGAGGGTGGCAGGCCCTGGCACAGGTGCCCAGAGAAGCTGTGGCTGCCCCAAATCCCTGGAATTGTTCCAGGCCAGGTTGGACAGGGCTGGGAGCAGCAGCAGGGGAAGGTGTGGATGGAGGGAGTGGAATGGGATGGGCTTTAAGGACCCTCCCAATCCATGGCGGTGATTCCAGGATTCTCCTTGGTGGAAAATGATTTGTATTTATGGACAATCCTGGCACACAGCGATACCCCCTCATTAATCAATTACTCGTGAGCTGCTAATGAACTTGGAGCTTGGAGCAGCACAGATCTGCCTCTGCTCTTCCTGCTGCTGCCTCTGGGCTTTTATTTCTTTGCCCATTTTCCCCCTGCAATTCCCTCCCGAATTGCTCCCGATCCATCCGTGCTCCTCACTCCTGGAAAAGGGGCTGGGGCCGTGTGGATGGGTGGCAGCAGCCTGCAGGCACTGAGGATTTTTCCTTATAACTGGATTTATTTCCCTGAATGCAACTGGAGCATGCCATTTTAATCCTCTTTCCTACCATATGGCCGCTGGCTGGATTGAAATATGACTCAATTAATTATTGCCAGGAAAGCCCTGGGGCCGAGCCTTTCTCTGGGAGGGGGTTTGGAGGTGCTCCCGGGGTTCCAATGGGGCTTTTCTCACCCCATGCTGTGGGATTCAGGGATGTGGCTCAGCCCCATTGGCCCTACAAGGGTGGGCATTGCCCCAGCTGCTCCTTGGCACCAGATTTGGGGCTTTTTTAGGCATTTCCAGCCTTGGAGCATGAGGCAGGGATGCTGCTTGATGGAATGTGCTGCTGGCTGCTCACCTGGATAATATCCCAAAAATGGGATATTCCCAACTGGGGAGGACCACAGGTGCCTGCTCGTGCCCATCCTCTCTCCCAGATCCCCTGGGAGCTGCCAGCTTTGCTCCCAGGGGATGATGCACCAGCATGAAGGATCTCGTGGGGTTTTCTCCTTGCAGTCCTGAGCTGCTGGTGGCTTGGTGGGGCACATTTGGCATCTGGGGGAGGTGACAACTGAGGCTGCTTCATGGCATGGGCGTTCTCAATCCTGGAGGGATCCCCATGGATTGATGGCTGTGAGGTGGTGAAGAATCTCTATTATTATTATTATTATTATTATTATTATTATTATTATTACTGTAATTAATCACCAATCCTGCCTGCTGCTTTGCCGCGCCGTGCCAAGTGGAAAATGCAATAAAAATGCAATTTTCCCGGGGTGGGCAGTGCCATCCCACCTGGTTGTTCCCGCTGGAATTCCAGGGGCTCCTGAATCCCGGTGAGTCACCGGAGGAGGAGAGCCAGGCACCGGCGCTGGCTGTTTCCATAGTAATTAGGGCTGGAGAAACAATGCTGGAGCCCCACAGACCCCTCTGTGTCCCCAAAAAGCGCTGCCCAGGGGCTCCATCCCGCCCCATCCCGTTCCATCCCACCGGGATGCTCCAGGCAGCCACGCCCGGGACACTGGCACTGCCCCCTCCTGCTGGATCACCCCGTTTAGGGCTGGAATTTAGGGGTTCACCCTGAGAAAATGGCATTTTGGGCACTGGGACTTCTCCAAAGGTGTCCCTCCTGTGCCCGGAGCGGGATGGGAAAAGCGGGATGGGAAAAGCGGGATGGGAAAAGCGGGATGTGTCCGTGTGGAGGATCCAGCTGAAGGATTAGGTTGGATTTTCAGGTTTTCTTGCTTTTCAGGCCCTTCTCTTGCTGTTCTCCCTCTCTGGGCTCAGCAGCTTTGTGGGGAGGAGGGATGAGGGTAAAAGCAGTGGGAATGAAACCCCATTCCATGGAAAAGGAGGTGGTTGCATCCTGCTCCTCTGAGCAAGGGATTTTTTTTTGTTTTATTCCCTGCTCACCTCCAGCCCAGCCTCCCATGTGCATTTTTCCTTCTGGGTGCCTCATGCATGGTGCAAACCCCCCAAATCTGCTCCCTTTAGAGCACAGGAGTGGCCTTGTCCACCCAAAATCCCCGGAGGGAATGGCCAGGGGGGTCTCTGGGTGGTTCAGGGTGGCTGCAGGGACAGGGACAGGATCCAGCTGGGTGGATTTGGCTCCATGGAGAAGCCAGGCTTGCTCCAAACCCCATCCAGAGTGGCTGGGATGGTGCTGCTGGGGTGTGGTTAATTAATGATGCCTTTGATTAGGGATGTGCCAGGGAATCGAGGTGCTGGGTGGGCAGGGAGGCAGCTGGATGCAGGAGCAGGGAATGACAAATCAGGGAATCACTGGATGAGAGGATCAGGGACTCACAGGATGGGGGGATTAGGGAATCACAGGATCACAGGATCAAGGAATCACAGGTCAGGGAATCACAGATCAGGAAAACACATGACCAGGGAATCACAGATCAGGGAATCACAGGATCAGGGAATCACAGGATTAGGGGATCACTGGATAAGGGGATCACTGAATAAGGGGATCAGGAAATCACAGGATCAAGGAATTATAGGATTAGGGGATCAGGGAATCCGAGGATCAGGGAATCACAGATCAGGAAATGCCAGGATCAGGGAATCACTGGATAAGGGGATCAGGGAATCACAGGATCAAGGAATGACAGGATTAGGGGATCATGGAATCACAGGATCAAAGAATCACAGATCAGGGAATGACAGAATCAAGGAATCACAGATCAGGAAATCACAGAATCAGGGAAGCACAGGATTATGGGATCATGGAATCACAGGATCAAAAAATCACAGATCAGGAAATGCCAGGATTAGGGAATCACAGGATTAGGGAATCACAGGATTAGGGGATCAGGGAATCACAGGATCAAAGCAACACAGATCAGGGAATGCCAGGATCAGGGAATCACAGATCAGGGAATCACAGAATCACAGGTGGCTTGGCTTGGAAGGGATCTAAGAGACCATCTGGGATGGGCTCAGATGCAGCCCCGCTGAGGCTGGAGTCTAAAACCACTCATCTCCTGCATTTCATGTGGGAATGATGGACTCCAAGCCCCAGGATCAGTGGGAATAAAAATCCCTGCTGAAATGACATTGGGCCAAGCCTTGAAAAATCAGCACCTTGCAGCTGGGGCACCCTGGATAATTCCTGGGAAGCAGCTGCACCAGGACCTGCTTATCCTCCCAAACACAATTAATTTTCACCTTATCTCGTCCTTCCCTGGCTTTTCACTCAGCAGTTTCCTTCCCCTCTTGTCTGTCATCATCATCCTCGTCAGAGCCCGGGTTAATTAGTTTATCCAAGGGAAGATCTGGAGTTCTGTGCTGTCCTCATGCAGATTCCTGAGCTGCAGGTTGGTTGTTCCAGGGGTGCTGCTGTGCTCCCAGATAAAATAAGCTCCTTTAGCTGAGCTGCTGGCTCACTTTAACAGGTTTATCCTCCTCTTTGCTCTCCCGAGGGCTTTGGGAAGGAAAGTTGCCTCTGGCCATCCCTTGATGCTCCCTAGGAACAGTTTTCCTGCCTGGAAAGGTCCTGGATGGGCACTGCAAGAGGGATTTATGTGGGAAGGGGCCTCCTTGGAGCTCATCAGGGATTTCTGCTCCTTCCTGGGTCACATGAAATGCCCCAAAAGGGGAAAAACCCTTGGCAGAGCAGAGGATATTCAAACTCCTCGGTGTTCCTGGTGTCACAGGGCTCCTCAGCATCCCTCCTCCGGCCAGGGGGGACAAATCCCAGCCCCAGAGCTTGGCTGGTCCTGCTTTTCCTGTGCCTCCATCCCTGCAGGCAGAGCCAGCAGCTGCAGAGGGGACATGGGGACATCGGTGCCCTGTGCCACCACCGGGAATTCTGGCATATTCCCAGAGTAAATCCGTGCTGAGCATCCTCCCTCTCCTCCTGCCCGGTGTTCCCAAGGCTGGCACCTCCAGGAGAAGGGTGACACCGCGGGGTGTGTTCCTGTGCTAATTACGGTCATTAAGGTCATTATGGTCATTAACGTTCAGCTGCTGTCGTGTCCCTTCAGGCTTAGAATGGTGGAATTGTTTAGGTTGGAAAAACCCTCTAAAATCTTCCCAGTGTGGCCATTCCCACCCATGTCCCCAAGTGCCACCATCCACAGGGCTTCTCAACCCTGGGCAGAGCTGCCAGTGCCTGAAACTCCTCTGAATTTTTTACCAATTCCCTTTTAATA